CATTCCCATGAACAGTTCACTTGTGTTTTCATGTATGTGTCTTCTTCTAACAGTTGTAAATTCAGCTGGTGGTTTGCTAGCAAAACACATGTCAAAAAATACACAGAAATGATCTGACAAAGCAACATCAACTACATTAACATTTGATACATTAACCCCCTTTGTAATTAGCAGGTCAAGAGTGTGCCCCCTGCTGTGGGTGGGGCCACTCACGTGCTGAATGAAACCAAAGGTCTCAAATACAGAAGCCAGCTCCTTTGCATTTCTGTCATCAACATTATCAACATGTACATTAAAATCACCTGTAATAACTAAACTATCAAAATCTGTGCACACGAATGAAAGTAGTTCAGTAAAATGGTCAATAAAATCGCAACATGACTGTGGTGGCCTGTACAGGACAATGAAAAGAGTAGAAGATTGCTTTTGTTCCATTTTAAAAGAAATATACTCAAACGATGAAAAATTTCCAAGGGGCATTCTATGGGAGACAAAGTGCTCTCTAAAAACTGCAGCTATGCCTCCCCCCCTTTTGTTTTCTCGTATTTCGGATTCGAATTTAAAATTGGGTGGTGTTGCTTCTATTAGAACTGCATTTCCTGTATTTTGGTCGAGCCATGTTTCAGCCATAAGCATAAAATCAAGATCATAAGAAGTGATAAAATTATTAATTAAAAATGATTTGTTACATAGAGATCTGACATTAAGCATAGCAAGTTTAAAAATAACGTCAGAGTCGATTAATGTGGTTGATTGATTTCTACAGGGAACAGAAATTAGATTTGCAGAGTTGGACCGTCTAACTGCTGTCCTGTTTTGATTTTAGCCAATGCTAAATCTACAGTCAATGCTAACTCTACAACCAATGCTAACTCTATAGCCAACGCTAACTCTACCAATGCAAACTCTATAGCCAAAGCTAACTCTATAGCCAACGCTAACTCTACAACCAATGCTAACTCTAGAACCAATGCTAACTCTATAGCCAAAGCTAAAACTACAGCCAATGCTAACTCTACAGCCAATGCTAACTCTACAGCCAATGCTAACTCTATAGCCAATGCTAACTCTATAGCCAATGCTAAATCTACAACCAATGCTAACTCTACAACCAATGCTAACTCTATAGCCAATGCTAACTCTATAGCCAATGCTAACTCTATAGCCAATGCTAACTCTATAGCCAATGCTAACTCTATAGCCAATGCTAACTCTACAGCCAATGCTAACTCTACAGCCAATGCTAACTCTATAGCCAACGCTAACTCTACAACCAATGGTAACTCTACAACCAATGCTAACTCTATAGCCAATGCTAACTCTACAGCCAATGCTAACTCTACAACCAATGCTAACTCTAGAACCAATGCTAACTCTATAGCCAATGCTAAATCTACAGCCAATGCTAACTCTACAACCAATGCTAACTCTAGAACCAATGCTAACTCTATAGCCAATGCTAAATCTACAGTCAATGCTAACTCTACAACCAATGCTAACTCTACAGCCAATGCTAACTCTAGAGCCAACGCTAACTCTATAGCCAAAGCTAAAACTACAGCCAATGCTAACTCTACAACCAATGCTAACTCTACAACCAATGCTAACTCTATAGCTAATGATAATTCTACAGCCAATGCTAACTCTACAGCCAATGCTAACTCTATAGTCAATGCTAACTCTATAGCCAATGCTAACTCTACAGCCAATGCTAACTCTAGAACCAATGCTAACTCTATAGCTAATGATAATTCTACAGCCAATGCTAACTCTATAGTCAATGCTAACTCTATAGCCAATGCTGACTCTACAGCCAATGCTAACTCTACAGCCAATGCTAACTCTAGAACCAATGCTAACTCTATAGCTAATGATAATTCTACAGCCAATGCTAACTCTATAGCCAATGCTAACTCTACAGCCAATGCTAACTCTACAGCCAATGCTAACTCTACAGCCAATGCTAACTCTATAGCCAATGCTAACTCTATAGCCAATGCTGACTCTACAGCCAATGCTAACTCTACAGCCAATGCTAACTCTAGAACCAATGCTAACTCTATAGCTAATGATAATTCTACAGCCAATGCTAACTCTATAGCCAATGCTAACTCTACAGCCAATGCTAACTCTACAGCCAATGCTAATTCTACAGCCAATGCTAACTCTACAGCCAATGCTAACTCTATAGTCAATGCTAACTCTATAGCCAATGCTGACTCTACAGCCAATGCTAACTCTACAGCCAATGCTAACTCTAGAACCAATGCTAACTCTAGAACCAATGCTAACTCTATAGCTAATGATAATTCTACAGCCAATGCTAACTCTACAGCCAATGCTAACTCTACAGCCAATGCTAACTCTACAGCCAATGCTAACTCTATAGCCAAAACTAACTCTATCACCAATGCTAGGTAAGATAACGTTAATGTTAGCTGAAAGAGAGAGAACGATTGGTCTGATTATCCATCTGTCAATAATGTTAACGTAAAAGTGCAGCTGCATCTAGCTGCCTGCTAGCAGCTAATATGCTAAGCTAAAAACTTTGTTTTTTTAACCATTTTAGTGTCATTCACTATGTGTATTATAATTAAGTGAATGTTTTCAAACAACTGTTACTTGCAGCTAATATTTGTTCACTTTTTTAAAAACTTTCAGTTTTTTTTATTTCAGACTATCCATGCTTTCTAAACATAGTCACTGAACGTAAAAAAAATAATTTTGTGTCACAATAACTGCAAGGTTAAATTTTCATACCTTGACACCCCTAATATCAATTTACATTTAGTATTAGTTATTAGCTTAAAACAAATCATAGAGTATTGGACTAAGCTGGTACTTTTCTTTTTCTTTGAAACCTGCATCCTATCTAGATATTCGGCGCCAATGTATGCATTTTTTATTTGTTAGAGCACCCCCTGGGTTTTTGTATTTTAACAAATCAATCTTGTTGCTGTATATGGAAATATACTGAATTGTATAAAATGTTTATGGAAAGTCCAAAGTATTGTGATTGTTTCATATTTGCAGGCTCTGAAAGTTACCCAGCTCTGGTTAAACACACGTCAAACCTGAGCCAAAATACAGATAGGACTAAACTCTGGGGAGGAACTGAAACATAGAGTCAATAAATCCTGAAGGAAATAAATTAGTGACGCTCGGCTCAGTGAGTTACACACAGTTCAGCACAGTTCAGCACAGTTCAGCACAGTTCAGGGAGAGATTATCCAAGGAAGTTGATTTGGCTCCTTCTCCACTTCCCCTCCCTTCATCTCTCGTCTCTCTCTCTGTTATAACCACAAGAATCCACTTGTATGAACTCAATGATTTTTCCCACATTGATACATGACTGTGATACCGGGTGTATTCAAGTCTGAGTTTTATTTCTTCCAGATCTCCTTTTGTTATAGAAACATTACAAGAGACAAAGTGTATATTTTGAATGGGAGAAAAGTGACCCACCAACTAAAATGAATTCTGTGATACAAAAAATCTGATTTCTCTTTGCAGCAGACGATTTAATTCAGGAATACAGCAATGGAAACTGTTACTGAGCTAAAAGAATGTACTTTTCAATGTAAGTCAAAAGGAACTTAGTCCGTGAGCACGTCCCTATTGGGGTTCATTGTACATCTATATACAGTCTATAGAGTTCCCAGTTTTCAGACCCTCACACTACAAACTACATCAATAATGGCACATGTTTCTATAAATACAGAAAGAAAAAGATATATTTTTTGGAATAGGTTCGGGTTTGAAAAATTTTATACGGACAAGGGGACAAAAGCAGTGAAGACAAAACCAGACGCTTTCCCAAAAGACTCTTGAAACGCGCTGAGATGTTTTAGAATCTAAGAAGAATGAGTTTGAGTGTGGCGCAGGGAGAGGTTTGGAGTGAAACGCGCTGACAGAGCAGAAACAAAATGTCAAACACACACAAATGTGAGGGTGGGTTTTCCCCACTGCACTGAACAAGAGCTTCGAGACAACAACAGAAGGGATTTTAAGGAAAAGCTTCTTCCAAAAGCCTCTGATTCCGTCGTATTCTGTCCCATTGAGCTAAATCAAAAATTAATTAAATTAATGTTTTTAGCATGAGCCTTGAAAACTGTGCTGCTAACAAGCAATTTCAACATGTTTATTTTCAACTTTCACCAGTAGAGGGCGAAACACACAAGCTCGTTCTGTGTGCAAATTAATGTATTTTATTATCTGGATAAGGTGATAATGTTTAAACCCGTCTCCACATGAACAAGAGGCCACCTGCGGTACTGCAGCCTAAATCCATACAGATTGTAAGGAGATTCTCCCCATAGACCTCAATGTTAACTGAAACAGCTGTCGAAAACCCTGAGTACACGTAAAATAATGCTGTATTATTGCTGCAGAGGACACCGCACTGAGGAGAAGGAGCAGGAGTGAGGGCTACGGGAAAACCAGTGAGAGACTAGAGAGAGACCACAGAGACCAGAAAGAGACCACAGAGAGACCACAGAGAGACTAGAGAGAGACTAGAGAGAGATAAGAGAGTTATTAGTAAGAGACCAGAGAGAAATCACAGAACGAGACCAGAGAGACCACAGAGACCAGAAAGAGACCACAGAGAGACCAGAAAGAGACCACAGAGAGACCAGAGAGAGACCACAGAGAGACAAGAGAGACACTAGCGAGAGACCAGAGAGAGAGACCAGAGAGAGACCAGAAAGAGACCAGAGAGAGACCATAGACACACTAGAGAGAGACCGGAGCGAGTGAAAGAGAAGAGAGAAAGAGCAGAGAGAGGTAGAAAAATAAGTCATATGTAATACACAGACTACTGTTTCTAGCTCCAGCAGGTGGTTTGCATCAGTAATCAGTGCTTTGGAGCTGCATGTGTCGCAGGCAGAACATTCTGGCAACACAAGTGTGATTATAATTGTATGGACTTTATTTGACTACTAAGACTGCATATTTCATGTCACTTTTATCAACAGTAATATTGTGGCAGTGGATCTTACCCTGGTCCTCGCTCGGCAGGGAGCGTGCAGCCTGAGTGGGCTCCATCAGCGCTGGTTGGACCGTGAGCTGGAACTGCCTTCTCTCCTGAAGACCGCAGTAGTGATGGTGCAGGTGACACGAGTACAGGCCTTCATCTGTGGCCTGCAAAATACAAATGTAAAGCTGGAGTACCTCATTTTAAAAACCACTGAACTCTGTAATAAACCATCTAACTAGTTTCTGGCTCAGTTTAGTTCTATTAGTTGCCTCATGCATGTATTATTGGCCTCTGTCACTTGTCTGTCAGCTTTTAAGTGAGGATGAGAGGACCACCCTCACTTCGCAAATCATCTTTAAGTGTGAAAAAGCTGAAAAATGTTCTATTCTGATAATTCAACTCGATTTATTTTTTATAGCCCTAAATCTCAGGGGACTGTTGAGACGCCAACAACAGATCAGAGCAGTTCGAACACATGAAATGCAATAATAATAAACACATAGAAGCCATTGTTCCATATGGAGCGGGATGAATACTATCCAGAAATGTTAATAAATGTTCTTAAATGTTCTGGATCATCACTGTTCTTAGACCTTGCAGCACCAGCAAGGAACAACTGAGTAGTACCGGCACCGAATAGTTAGAGCCAGGATCAAGCAGGTACTAAAAAAGTATCTGGAACTGGGTGAGCAATTCTCTTGATCCTAAAATGAGTAATCAACCACAACAATGAGTAAAAACTAGATTTAAAATTCAACAGAAAAACACCTAAATCCCTCCCTGATAATCATACTGCGCCTATGTGTGAGAAATTATTCATATGATATTGAGAAGGGGTTGGAAAGTTGTGGTGAGAAGAATCTGAAAGCCAGACAACTTTGAGGCCATGGGTGGAACTCTGTCAAAGCAACAAAACTATGCATACATTACAGTGCACATTTGGTGAAGGATTTTGAACTTGGAGACGAAGTTAAACACATATGAGGAGCGAAATGATTTATAACACAGTAAAATGTTCTGGATAAATCAGACCACTTGCTGCTTTCTTCTTACTAGAAAACATATTTGACAAGCTAGCCTAAGAAGAGCCCTATTTGTAAATCATTGAGCACCATAGTTCCTGTGGAGTTTCGCTTTTGCTTCAAAACATGATCTGATCCGGGACAAAATGAGTGAGTTTCCTAAAACCATCCAAATACGTACATTTCTAACACAAGCCTATATTTTCCCTGTGCTCTCAGATGCATCACTGCTCAATGTCTCATGAGGATCCAGTGTTTACATGCAGCTCCACCGCAACCTGACGCTTTTGACGCCGAAGTTAAGTCCGGTGTGAACGCCCCTGTAGAACCGGCGCACACCAGATTAAAAACAGACTGGTTTTTCACACCTCAATCGGCGTGCACAGGTTTTCATGTACAGTATATGTCGGTCGAGAAATGAACTCAAGGCAGCGGCGATTTGCGCCTGTACCACGGTTTATTTTGGAGTCCCTTCAGATCAAACAAAAGGAGACAAGGGTTTTTATATGATTTGTGCCGATGTGCGTAAGAGCAGACGTCATCACTTGAGATATTAATGACTCATGCTTAAGATATAGATACTGTAGTAACAACGTGGTCAGAACAAGTACGTTCAGTTCTTCAGATACAACAGGGGTCCACAGTACACTTTAAAGGAGCAGTATGTAAACATTTGGCTAAAAGTGGTACTGCAGCCTCTCCCACTCTCCCTGACTCAGGTTGCCAGATATGCAGACGAATCCAGCTGGAACCATAACATCAATAGACAAGAGTTTTGTCAACAACAAATCTATAATCAACATCTTTTTCACAAAGACATTCCTGATAGAAATCCTTGTTTTTTATCCTTTTTTTGTCATGAATGATTTGAGAATCATACCGAGACCTTTTTAAGTTCTGCGGCCACATGTTACTTTACCAGTGAGATTAGCTCGATGCTGTGATTTCTGGCAACCCGGATCACCGACATTCTGACTGGTAAAACAGTGAAGGATGGGACATCGAAATGAAAACAATAACAAAATTTAGGGGCTGTAAAGCTAATTTAGAAATTTGAATATCTCTGCTGATATCTACTGTTATCAGAAGTGTTTGAAAAGAGCACGGTTTATTAATGCCTTTTGACAGATTAGAATTAGATGAAAATCTTACATATTGCTACTTTAACAATTAATTATTAAACTGGAGTAAGGATGTGATTTCAGTTTTCACTACTTCTCATTCGTTTTTCTCATTAATAAAAACTGCAAATCATGACTTTGCTTGCGTCATAGGAAGTTGGACTTCCCTCGTTTCTTTGTTCTTGTGAATGATAGAGATCCATAAAAACAATTCGAGTTACGAGACTGTAAAAGATCTGTTTAAAGACTTTTGCATGTGTCTTCCTTGTTGAAAACACAAAACATCTTCAGCATTGAGCCTCGAGGGCCATTGGATCCCCCTGGTTTATCCTAAATTATGAACCGTATCTTAAACAATGCGTCCCTGGAGTTAGCGTCAGATTTATGGAGATTTCTGCCTATGGCCACAGCTCTGGGAGAGTTTATCTGCTTGTGTTTGGAGCTGCAGCTGCCAGCCTGTTTTTCCAGATGCAGCACTGAATGTGGCGCTGATGTAAAAGCCAGACGTTTGGAGACAGAGGAGACCAACACGGCTTACATGTGGTGCAGGCTCACGTGTGTTCGCTGAAATCTTAGATTGTACATTAGGAGTGGACTGACTGCTCCGATCACAGGATGTCGGATTAAACCCGAGACTGGAAATCCACAATTCCTTCATCTTTCGACAAATGGCTGGAATGGATGATAAAAGCTGCAAGCTACAAAAAAGTGATCCTTAGGCTACACCAACAGCAAGACCTCTTCCTTGAAATATGGTCACATTTTATTGACTTTATATAAACTGGTTAAGCACTCAAAAAAATCTGCCTTTCTAAACCATATAACATTAGTATTGGTCAGGTGCAAATATGTATGAAGGTGTGTTCCGGAGGTACATGAACTTGTGTGTAGTGGTGTGTACGTGTATATATATATATATATATATATATACTGTATATGCAAGGGTATATGGAACAATAGGAACCAGAGCGAGTTGGATTAAAACTGTCTTCATGAGCTCTTCCCTATTGAGCTTGAACATTGTCCATCTACAGTATATACAGTCTATAGCTGAAATAGATGTTACAAGAGGAAGGTAATACTGCCCTGAATAGAAAAGATGAAATATGCTTTTTTTTTTTTTGAACCTCTATAACTTTGTTTCTGTAATTCAATTAAACGGCTCTAACTCTGAGTTCAGGCCTAGAAAAAGTGTTTGTTATAGATTATAATTCCTGCCTGCTACTAACCCTAACCTAGAGGTATTTTCATTCAAAATAATTCACCAATTTCATTGGGCAAAACTCTGATAAGGCAAAGCAATAAAAAAACTTGAGCTCAGCCACAGATATGGGAATGAGGTTTTTGGTCAGTGGGAATGAGGTTTTGGACTCACCTGCAGTTTGGAGATGGTCAGAGAGAAGTCTCCCTCTGAGAAGGCCTGAGTGCTGATGTTCATTTTGCGTCGCAGGAACAACGGTCCGTAGCTGCGCTGTTCTCCAGAGGCGTAAAGATCCACGAGCCGATCTGCTCTGTCATGAAGCACACCGGGAGACTGACGGTCCCAGTGCACCACCTGAGAGCACGGACAGCTACTATCACTTTACAAGCACTTTACATTCAAATGTAATAAGTTCATTATGTAATCTTCATAGAATGTTATTTTAAAAAGGGTGTAAATCGTTCTGCTTAATCACCACAGAGAAGACGCGTCTCTAGAGAACTGCGTCCCAAGGTGAAGGCCCCCATTATTTCTGTTTAAGAGATGGTCCATTTCTGTTGATGGTCCATAGACTTCCTGATTTCAATCACATGCAACCTTTTCCAGAGACCACAGCGCAGAAGGGTACATAAGCAGTGTAAAGAAGCTAGCTTTACACCCTTTGTCTTATTAAAAGCACTTTACTATCACTTAACTGCTTTAGAGGGTGTTCACACATGGGGCTAAATAAGTTTCATTTGTAGAAATGTGAAGGCACAAAGTCCACACTGGTTCGTAACTCCGATCTGTGACTTTTGCAGTGAGTGAGTTTACAAAACATAAACCGCAATACATCGTTTGAAAAGGGGTTGAACGAAGAAGATGCTTTTTTGACACACTCACTCCGACAAGACACAGGCCCAAACTCTCTGATCCTACACCTTTCTCCCATCACATCTGAAGTGAACTGGGACCAGAAGACCAGTAAGTGTGAATGCACCCTCACACGCTTTTTTCTCCCTAAAAATGTCAGCCAGGCTTCTATTCTGACATCATTAAAACCCATGTTAAAAACAGTTCTGTTATGTTGCATCAACACAAAATAGTGATGTTCTATGAATATTTGTGCCTTTGAATTTTTATGTTTTTAATTCCCTGCATGATGTTAATTTTCTTCTTTTGTGTTGGGTTGCTTGTTTATGAATTGTGAAGCACTTTAGAGTACTTTTTTTATGAAAAGAGTTCTACAGATAAAGATTGATTGACACATGCTTTAGTTTTCATTGCATATATATAATTTTGAGTTAGAAATAAGGTGCCTATAGAGACTAAGTGTACCCAGTGCTCAGCGGCTAAAAAAGTCAAATTAAAACAGAATTCTCTGCATTCCAGTGCCTCTGACTTCTTCTCTAAAGTGCATTTTATGTTCCACATGAACGAAAGCGTCCTCCTGACCTGCTGATCCTCCTCGTCGTTGCTCCAGTCGGTCCAAACGCTCCGTCTGTTCACACAGGGCAGAACCACCGTGGACCCAAGAAGAACCACGAACACAGCCTTCTGTCCGTCCCAGTACCTCTGCTCCTTGCGCTCTGAGAAGCAAATCAGCTTCATTATAGCAACTCTCACAATCACCACAGGTCGAACATTTACTGAAAGATCCTGGAATGTGATCCATGGATGGACACAAACTGTTGGAAGGGAAATTGAACAATTTGTGAGTCGTGGTGGATCTCCCATGGACAGGCCTGCTTTATCGAGGGCACCAGTAACATCACAATGGGATTTAAATGAAAACCTCCCTTTGTTTGTTCAGTTAAATTGCATACATATTTCTGTGCGTCTCCCCCATCCGACCCATTGAGGTTATGGGTCGGGTCAGGGTCGCCGTGTCAAGAGCTGTCTGGTACACCCTGAGGTAGTCTTGCACAGTTATTCCAATGTGGTTTTATGGCAAATAGACTGAATCTTGTATCTTGAATCACGACTTCAAACACTGCAGAAAATATCACACAAAACTTCATAATCTAGGCTTGAAGTCGGTGAATATTACATTTAATTAATACATTTTTTGTGGTAAAAAATGCCATTTTAACTATAGCCATTATAACTAGCCATTTTAACTATAGCTATATAAATCATACCTAGTTCTAATTCTACTAATTTGTACACGGTTGCATTTTGGCCTCTTATCACATTTTTTTATCAGTTTTTTCAGCCAATCAGCTTTCAGCCCAATGCATCTAACAGGGGCTCACAGGTCTCTTTCTCAGATTCTGATAGTTCTGTTAGTGCGTCCAGGAGCTTGGTTAGACTCCAGATTGGACTAAATTATGGGAAAAACTTTTAAATGTTTTCTCCTTGGCACAGACATAGGCCGTATATTAGGAGTGGAGTGAACCTAAAACATATTTTTTCTTAAAAATAAAGTAAATAAATGCTTGTTTTTTTTTCCCGTACTTGATTTGGTGACGTTGAGCTGGACCTTCACAGTCTCGTACAGGTGACAGTAGAGATGATGCAGGTTACAAGAGTAAAGCCCACGGTCGTTCATCGTCACGTCTGCAAAAGGGACAAAAATGTTTTATTCATAGATCTGATGAATTCCCCAGCAGAAAACTAGTAATCCAGTAGTATTTTGTAGCTGCCTGACTATTAGCTGGAACTTTTTAAAATATGTGGCCAATGTATGCTTTTTTTATTATGGTAAAGTATCTCCAGGAGCACAGGAGAGAATTTGGACGCACCTCTATCAGCTGTTTATGTTTATGTGAACAGCAGAGATGAGGAGTTAGACTGATAAGGGCCGTTGTCAGAACAAAGATTGGCAAAGTGTTGTTTCACATCAAGAGGGTCAGAGGTTCAATTCCTCAAGTCTTTCTGTGTGCAGTGTGTCTGTGTCTGCATGGGTTTCCTCCAGGTGCTCCAATTTCCCCTACCACTAAAAACACGTACAAGTGACAGGAATGAATGTAACGAGAGAGTGAATGGATTGTGATGGCCAGACTGAAGTGAATAGAAAAATACAGATAAACCAAAATTGTAAAGCCTTTTGTGTGACCTTGGTCTGTGAAGGACTATATAAATAAAGCTTACCTACTTACTTTTTTAACAGTGTTAGAGTTTTATTTATTTATCATTAGCTTTGTAACAAGTCAACTGTTTGTTAAAACACCTCGGCTTTGTTTTGCTCCACCAGCTTATATTCAAGTCTGGCATATATGTGGAAAAAAAAAAATCTTTAAAAAAGGTAGCAGTTTGTATACAGGTTCACTTAATCGTTCAGCAAGTTCTGTATTTCCAGGATGAGTATTTAGCAGAATATAACTGATTAAAAGACAGGCTGCATCAATACTATTCTATCTCATAGGATTGTCAATATATACATAATAATACAATCTTAATAAGTCTTGGTTTTATTTCAAATATGTATATTTTCAAAAAGAAAAAACGTCCAGAGCCACGTCCGCCCAGCTGTTGAGCATGGGGATGGATCCATCGTGCTTTGGGGTTAGGCTGCAGTCAGTGGTTCAGTGGATATTTTACAGGTAGAAGGAAAAACGGATTCATTTGATTCCAACACATTCTGGGAGCGAGTACAACATCTGTGAGAAAGCTGAGTTGAAGATGAAGAATGTTTTGCTCTTGCTCTCACTGTGGCCGGAACAAAACACAAGAGACATGAAAATCTATGGATTGACCTCAGTTGGTAGAGCATTGGCCTTTGAGCCTGAAGGTCATGGGTCCGAGCCCACCACAAGACTTTCTCCACCGACTGATGTCTGCTGTTGTTGTGTCCTTGGCGAGACACTTAACCTCTGGGAACACCTGGTTCCACAGTGGGGTGGCTGCGGCTGTAAAGGGCCAAACAGCCGTTGTGTCCTTAGGCAAGACACTTCACCCACATTGCCAAGAATGAGTCTGATGTGTGAATGGTTGGTGGTGGTCGGAGGGAATGAATAATGACATGTGAAGCGTCCAAAAAAGCTGTATATAAAACCGATGCATAATCATAAATGATAAAAAGAGCAGTGGATGCAAGACAGCGCAGACGTCTCTCAGAACAAAGAAGATTTTTGTCAGAGGAAACATTTCCTGAGACATACACTGTATATGTTACGTTTATTGAAAATGTAAAACGTAATAGTTCTGGGAAGGTCTCCTCTGTAACTTAATGACGTTTGGGAATCATTGTTCTATGTAACTATGTGATCAAGTCTGTTTGCTTCTAGTTTCCACATGCATGTACTTTTGGCCTCTGTCACATCTTTAGATCATTTTTTCAGACAGAAAAGAAAGATGGAAAGGACCGCTCTTGCTCAACCAATCAACTCTCAGCCCCAAGAGTCAAAAAGTGACTTACAGGGATCTTTCTCTCTTAAGTAAGATAACATGTTTTCTAATAAAACTAAGGTAGCTTGTTGTGGTCAGATTTGTTTACAACATTTGACTTTTGCACAAATCTTTCTGTTGGACAAACAACAAATGTGTTATTTAGGGAAAAACAAAAGTTATTACCCCAGCTTCTTTGTCGAGTTGGTGCTCAGCTCTAATATTACAAAAGTACATTAATACAACCACTTGCTTTACCTTTGATGACCAGAGAGAAGTTCCCGTCCCTGAAAGCCTTCTTGCTGACGCTCACTCTGCCCACGTTGTAGGAGTTGTAGATGCGCTGGTCTCCTCCGGGTCCAGAGAACATGTCGACCACACGCTCCATCACGTAATCTGGACTGGCCCGGTACATGTCCCAGTGCAGGACCCGCTGTCTGTCCCGAAGTCTGTCCCGCGTCCAAACCATCCGGCCGCTCACACACTGCAGTACCACGCTTGAGCCAGCGGGGGCGCTCATGTTGTACGCCGCCACCACCAGACTGGTGCTGCTGTCAGACTGGGCGTTCACTGGGGAACAGTAGGGGTGATGTGCAATCATGTTGACAAAATATAGTTGTTTTATTAATAAAAAAAAACAGGTTTATGACCCATGGGAGTCCATAACTTTAAGGTATATAGGGGGATTTTCTACTTCCGGGTGGATCATCAAAACTATTTATTGGTCCTCCCAATTGGCAAACATTCTGGTCATGCTTGCTCGTAAAATAAGACCGGTGAGTTTTGTTCATAAAGTGGAGAGGGCGGTTCTTTCCTAAAATTTGTGAAAATCCTCATATATACGTTTAAGAGAGAGCACATTTCCCCTGTGCTGGCCTTTCTTCACTGACTCCCTGTCACACTGACTTTGAGCAAGTTATTCACCTTCAATATCTTCAAAGTTATATTATTGTAACTCACTGTAGTGTGGTCTAAAACAGAGCTCAGTTAAGTGCCTTCAGCAGATCTAGAATGCTGCGGCTGTTTGCTCAAGGGGAGAGAGAGCACATCACCCCTGTGCTGGTCTCACTTCACTGGCTCCCTGTCACATTCAGGGTTGATTTCAAGATTCAGACGCTTTTATTTTTTATTGTGTAATGGTTCACCTTCCCTGTATAATTGACAACGCTGTTATTTCTGTATGCCAAAAAAATAGCTTATGTTGTACGTGTCCAGAAGTCGACTCAAAACTCAGGAAGACTGGGCCTTTGCTTTTTATTGATTCCAAACTGGGAATTGGTTTTCCTCTGTACATTCAAAGCAGCTCCAGCCTCAGTCCTGGTTCTTCAGCCTGTCCATCAATTCTCTTAATATGGGCCATCCCAAGGTTTCTCACTTTTTATTTTTGAGTTATTCCTTCAGGACATTCTGGACAGAGGTCATTTTGCTCTGTATGGACAAATGGCTCCTATATGGTTTGCCATTATTGTATTTCCTGTGTTTGAATTGTTTGAGTGTCTTGTTGTTGGCGAATCTACAACTTTGCAAAATCCTCAGAGACGGCTGCTGTTGGGATTTAGAGCTATACACAAATGGAATTGAATTGGATTGAAAACTAGACATTTACCAGACTAAGTCAAAACTAAGCCAGTACACAAAGGGAAGAGATATGGGGCCCGACCTGCCCTGGGTTTAAGGCTCAATAAAAACCTGGGGATAAAGTAACAAAAGCATTCAAGAAGTATTAGTATGAGACGTGTGTGAAAGTATTAGAGCTGTCCTACCTGCAGTGACGAGGCAGCTCACCAGAACTGCAAGAGAGAGAAGTAAACACAGTAATGACTTAAACACATGCAGACATAACATTTCCATTTGAAAACGCTGCAGCTATGTTGGCAACAGAATTTTGGAAAGAAAACTTCTCAGGGTTGTTTTTTGGTCATAACTTGTCACGACATTATTCAAACTTGCTTTAATTCAGATGTAGCTTCTGGCACAGAAGAACAAAGAGGCAACATAGTCTGTGGTTCAGGGCATAAAAACAATTCCACTGTGACGTCACCCTGTGTATAACAACTTCAGTTATCTTCATAATTACTTTTAATACATTTGTCTCTGTTTAAGTGGTACTTGTTGCTGCTATTTCTAAAATAAATTCTATTGTTTCTTGTATGTCTGCACTAGTCTTATTTGACTGCATGGCTCACCTTGTCTAAAAAATATGTCTAAATGTATTTTTGAAAGGGGTACATTTGAATCAAGCAAATGTAATCTTTATTGTAACTTGCCAGACATAAATCCATATTAAACTGCTTTCCAGACAAAAAACAAAAGAAATGAAATGAAACATGCAGTAACTATCAGTCACGGAGAAAGCGTTCTCTGATGTTGTCTTGAACTTGGGTGATTGATGCTACTTGACAGGAGTGACCCAATTCTTTATCAACACAACTTACAGAAGAAAATCCAAACAAATGCAAAGCTACTTACTGTGAATGAATAGAAAGGCAGGTAAAATCATCCTCTCTTTCTTTCTTGAAAATAAAACTTAAAAATAATTCCGCACACAAAAAATATGTGTTGTCCACTTTGTTGCAATTGCATTTAAAAACGAGATAAATTCTAAAATAAAAACGTGTGAGCATCCATTCGTAAAAAGTTTTAAGTTTTAAGACAAAGCTAAAGAGACATGAAGGAGCCACAAGACGAGTCAGCACGATATTATAATAGCTCTACATGAGTCTGCAGCGGAACCGAATCAAAACACGACCCAGGACAGAGGTTTCTCCTCCCGGGACCAGTGCAACCGGACACCGCAGCCAGCCCTCTTTGCTTTGCATGTCGTAAGAGAAAAAGAGAAAAAAAGACCAATTTGTCAGACGCAATTACACAAGGACAGACTTTGAATAAATGTTGAGAATATGCTTTTTATAAAAGGAAAAAATCGAAATGTCAGTAGTTTCATAATATGTAGCTCTCTACTGCCCCTTAGAGATAAAATTATGAAGCTTCAATCAAATGTTACAGCCATTGACTGTTATATTCAATAGTTCCAACACTTGTCATACCTAAGCGCCCGGGACCATTGTTTAGACATTGAGAAGGACTGCTCATGAAAAGACTAGTTCCCATACCGGGAGTCGAACCCGGGCCGCCTGGGTGAAAACCAGGAATCCTAACCGCTAGACCATATGGGACACGAATGCAGCTACAATACTTATGAAATTATTCTTCAATTATTGGGACTTTGGCGACTTAATGTTGAGTTAAAACTATCAAACATATCCCCCGAAATAGTGGAATGTGCAAATTTAGGGTATTTTTAATTTGCCTTAGATATGTATATTCTATTTATCAAAGGCAGTGCAACAAAAACATATTAGCAGCTACATAAATCAGCAGGCTCTAACGTGAAGTATGTACAAATTACATATTTCTAAAAGCGTGTAGGCAAATGAACCGAAGAGTATTTCCGAGTGCCTGCAAACGGAACCTCTCGTTCTCTTTTGTTCACTGCCGGACCGTTTTTGTGTTACACCCCAGACATTTCCCCCGAAACAAGCGAACTCATTCAGGGTTTGGAGGTAATTTTGCGATTTTATCTTTACTCTGTTGCGCTGTAATTGAACACGGTGTTATGACAATAAGAAGAGGTTAGATTTCGTCCCAGGCAAACAGTCGGTGTTATGTTTAGTTATTTTTGATTGTTCTTCTGAAAAGCTGTGTCAGGGTGAGCTAACATGCTACAGCGGCTAACGTGAAGCTAAGTGAGCTGTCGGTGAAACTGCAAAGTTTGAAGCAGACTCTAACTCTCTGTGTTTCCATTTAGTGTCGCCTCCGCTTCTTTTGTGTAATTTGAGATTTGCATTTCAGGTTTTTGACCAAACATAAAGGATGTTTCTGACCAGATCGGAGTATGACAGGTGAGTCCCGCGAGTCGCAAACTGCTTTGTCACGTATGACCAGACTTTACATGAAAATATAACCAAGCCAAACAACACACGTATTTATTTATGTATGTGTGTATATTTGAGAGAGATTTGCATACAATCTATTTTGACATGTAATGCATATAATACTCGGCTTTAAACTTTTGTGAAGTTCGCAATTTGGTATTGTTTTGGTTTCACTTTCAGTTTTATATCAAAGTTAGAAAAAGCTTCATTTTGAAAGGTCTGTTTCAGTTATTTTTTGTTTTTACAGAGGTGTGAACACATTTTCTCCTGAAGGAAGATTGTTCCAGGTTGAATATGCCATCGAAGCAATCAAAGTAAGTCAGTCATTTTGCACAATATTCAGCTCTTCATTTCTTTTTACATGTAAGTTTCTTAACATTGATCTGTGGTCTGTTGTAGCTCGGCTCCACAGCCATCGGCATCCAGACGTCAGAAGGCGTTTGTTTGGCTGTAGAGAAGAGGATCACCTCTCCACTCATGGAACCCAACAGCATCGAGAAGATTGTGGAGATCGACACTCACATTGGTGCGTGAGAAGTGACTTTGTTTTTTATAAATATATATATATATATTTTTTATTCCTGCCAACAGGTTGTGCGATGAGTGGATTAATAGCTGATGCCAAGACGCTCATTGACAAAGCAAGAGTGGAAACACAGGTAATAATTGAAATAGTTATTGGATAATGTCAGAAGGTGTAATTGTGCTTTTTCTTTAGAATCACTGGTTCACGTACAATGAGACAATGACAGTAGAGAGCGTGACTCAAGCCGTCTCCAACTTGGCCCTGCAGTTTGGAGAGGAGGACGCAGACCCTGGTGCTATGGTAACAACTTCAACACTCTAAACCTCAATTCTGTAAATTGTAGTTAGTGTGTTTGTGTGGAGACAATGAATTAATGGTTTATTCTTGTCCTCAGAGTCGACCTTTTGGTGTAGCTCTGCTTTTTGGAGGAGTCGATGAGAAAGGACCTCAGCTGTAAGTACAGAATGTATTTAAGGCCTACTTTAAGGCCTATTATGTTCTACACCAGTGTATTTATAGATAGATACTTTATTGATCCCCATATCAATCATGGTGTCTAGAGTAGAGTCTAAAAAGCTAACAAAAGTAAAAATCAGCAACAGCCCAGGAGGTTGCCCTGACACAGGTTTAATAAGTGTGCAAGAGGGAGCTTTAATATGATGATTGTTGACATTGTTGATTATTGGGAAAGTGGCAAATTGTTTGGAGCAACTGGAGAAAAATAACAGAAAAACTGGTGATAATAGCAGCATCTCGTGGAGCCCAGCTTTGTCAGTAATACAGCGTTATAATGTCTGGATTGCATCACAGATAGTCACACATCCATGTTCAATAATCACAGCATCAGGGCGCCTCATGCTCAACGTGCTGGTGATAACTCTGGCATTTGATGGAGTCAAAGTTAAGGCTTTGGGTTTGGCATTATAATGAAGATAAGATTGTCACGACATCCCCCTCTTCTGCAGATGGAGGCAATAGATTTTTCTCCTTCATCAAACTTCATCAAATTTCTTAAAGAAGTCGTAGAATAGATCAATATTAATCTCTATTTCAGACTTGAATTAAATTTGTCCATATTTTAAAATAATAGTAATATAGTAAAAGTCATAGCGATACAATGCAAAGATTAAACTTGGTCGTGCTGGCCGGGTCACAGACGTGATTGGAAAAACTGAATCTGGTTTTTGCTCCAGTGAATGTGAAAAAGTACAGAAGATTCAAGGCACTCCAGAAGCCTTACATTTGTTGCGACTAAACCTGACGCTGCTTTGTATTTGGTCAATTTGCAGAAAACCTCCACTAAGAATATAGAGCCCTGTGGATTAAAATAAATCCTCACTGTTTGTTATTGGCTGATCAGCTCTACAAACCCTGCTCTGTTTCCGTAGTTACCACATGGATCCTTCAGGGACATTTGTTCAGTGTGACGCTCGAGCGATCGGTTCTGCGTCTGAAGGGGCTCAGAGCTCACTACAAGAAGTCTATCACAAGGTAAACCGCCTCGAACACGTTTACGACGGGGAAACGATATCCCCATCTCCAAATGGTGTCGCAAGATGCATTTAGGAAAAACTGCCAAAACTTCAAACGTTGCAACACGTGACAAGGCATTAGTTACCCCTTAGGCGCCAAGTAGCAGGATCACTACAGGTTCTCTTGAATACAGGACACTTTCTATACAGTGACATGGCTTCCCACAAACATTTACCTACACGTTCTTTCATATTTTCCATGTTTTTCCTCTTATTGATTTTAAAGCCCAACTCTACCACATAAAAAAATACACACATTAGCTGCATCTCTATAGAAGACGCAGGGTTTGAACAACTAGAAAAACATATTAATTTGATCCTCATTAGCATTCTGGTGGTTGCTTGTCTTCCTGGGGTCGTCTCCATTCAGGATCGATTCACATTACAAAAGTTCAAAATACAGTATAAAAAGCAATTACTATACAAAATAATCCAAGAGTGAATAAACATTTCACATCATCTGAAAACACTGAGTAGTTTGCCTTGAAGCCACAGACGGCTGATTCTAAGCAGCTGAGGATCCAAATTAAACTGTTCTCCTCATTCAGTCCAAATACAATCCATTTAAAAGGGAATTAAATGGACTGTTTTTTGTAGCGCAATTCCAAGTGCTTCACACAAATCCAAAAAATATTAGATACATTAATTATAAAAGTATGTCATATCAACACAGTGCAGCGCAACGGGCTTAAAACTCTTTCAAATACGGACTTGGGGCAAATGAATCGTACAAAACAGAATCCGTTGTATGCGCAGCAGGGAAAATATTTGAAGACATTTTTGAAAGTTACAGAAATGGACTAAAGGGAAGAAAATGACGTGACAGTTAAAAGTAATTATTTTATTTTTTTTATGTTGCTAACACGTAAATACGTAGTCAAATTTAAGTGCATGTGTTTTGTGGGTAAAACGCGGAGGTAAACTTATGATATTAAGAAGTTAAAAGGCTCCCTACATGGTCTCCAATTTTTTCTTCTGTGCTTAAAATAATAATAAACTAAAATCTATGTCTTTTGTGAAGTTTCAAAGCTCGATCAATTGTTTTATACTTTCTGAAAATGTGTTGGCTCCCGATGAGCCAAGTCAGCGTTTAAAAGTATGTCAAGAGAAAACGCTTTTTTAAATTTATTTTTTATGGAATAGAAAAACGTTGTCTTGTCATGAGTGGGAATGTGTAACTGCAAAAGCATCACAAGACATGCATGCAGACAATAACATTTCTAAAATATATATATATATATATATATATATATATATGTTGGCTTTTAAATTATTATTATAAATACAACTGTTAATAATCTTGGATCATGATTCATTATTATCAAATCATGGCCTAAGTTCAGTGCAACCAGGAGAAACATATCATTCAAGTTAGAAATTAGTTTAGTCTTTAAAACAATTTTCCTGTAATCAAGAAATGTTATCTCTTTGCAAACATTGTATTAAATATAAGAATTATCCTTAACTCAAGATTCTTTTAATATTTTAGTGTGCCAAAATGTGTTATTAAAATAAATCATATTGTAAAAACTTTAAACATGTTCGAAATATAAGCTCAACTGTACCATTTCATTTGTTATTATTTCCCGTTCCAATATTTCTTTCAAATGCATATTGTAGCTGGAGCTCTGCGATGCCACCGAAAGTTTAAATCCTCCGTATGAGAAGGAAATATCACAATAACGATACATTTCAATATAAAATCTTCAGAAAAGCAGCTGCTACTTTGCGGATTTCACTTATTGTGTGTCTTTTTTAGAGCGTGAAATAAACCATGAACCGCTGTATATATCTTTAATCGCAAATAAAATCATAATCCCTAAAAGATCATCTTGTCAAAAGTGATTGCCCCATGGTATCACCCCACTGTGATACCATGGGGCAATCGTGGTAAGCTAAACTACATGTACAAGGTTTGAAATATGCCCTTGTTATCTATTGCTGTATGTAATAATATGTTGTGTAGGTTGGAATTGAATAAAATAATCTAAAAAGACTAATATGTCATATGTTCCTTTCTTTTTTTTCTCAGTCCATGACATTAAAAGAAGCCATCAAGTCTTCCCTCACGATTTTAAAGCAGGTGATGGAGGAAAAACTCAACGCCACAAACATCGAGGTATGTTTTAAAATGTTATACTATAATTCAAATGTATTTTTGTCTTGCTCTAAATCACAACAGATAAAAACAGATCATGCAATAATAACAAACACATAGAGCCATAAAGGGCAGATGAGTGATTCATGGCTGACTTTACAAAACATTTTTATACCAGTTCTGTAGATTGTTGCCTAAATCTGTATCTTTCTTCTGTTTTCAGCTGGCGACAGTGGAACCTGGGAAGACTTTTCACATGTTCTCAAAGGAGGAGCTCGAAGACGTGATCAAGGACATCTAAACTGACCGAAAGCACTAAGTTTTGTACAATGTGAGGATTTCCAGGCCTGAAAAATAAACATTACCACCACTTTTCCATCAAACACTGTACATTTTTACTGCGGCCGCAACAGTCTGTCCTAGTTCCTCTACAGCGCTCTTCTTGTCAATGGTCGGTGGAAACATGGAGGGTCTTTTTTTTTGTTATGAATCAGTACAAATATTAAACTGTTTACAAAAAGGTGAAGATTTACTTTTCTTGTCTTTAGTTAAATGAATTAGATCCTGGATTGTTTAGACATGGACACGCACACATATGGCTTTATTCTCATATTGACCTCATTGTTGAGAAGTCTGACCAAGCACAGCTCTCACCAAGAGATATTTGTTAAATATCTTTTGGATTTGATTAGCGATAGAGGAATGTAGTAATGAATGTGCCTAAAATCTACAGTATTTGCTAGTATTTACCCCACCAGCTATGTTTGAAAGTAATTTTTTTCTCAAATATTAGCCACGCTTGAAAAAAAGCCTATCAGGGTGTTTTGGCGTCTGAAATGCACTATAAAGTACATAATTTACTTCCATAATCGGTGAAGCAAAAACAGATTGAAATATAGGCATGGCAAGTTTATTTATAAAGCACAATTCATACACAAGGCAATTCAAAGTGCTGAACAAAATAAAGTATTAAAATCATAAATAATCACAGAACATTAAAAAGAAAGATAAAAATATAAAATCCCTCAGTTGTATGCACAGCTAAACAGAACTGTCTTTAATCTGGTTTTAAACATGGTCAGAGAGGAGGCCTGTCTCACATCTTCAGGAAGATTGTTCCAGATTTTAGCAGCATGAATCTGAAAAGCAGCCTCCCCATGTTTAGTTCTGACTCTGGGCACTAACAGGAGTCCAGTCCCTGTGCTCCTCAGAGTCCGAGCTCAGAGTGATTATTTGTCGGACACAGTTCATACTAGCCTGTCCTTAGCCATCTGTACTCGTCGCTCAATCATCATTTCATATTTTCACTATGGTGGGGTACGACCGGGCTAAGTTCATACACAAGTTGACTCAAAGTGCTTAACAAAACAAGAGTACATTAAATAGAGAGTAGACTCAGTTGTATGCACAACTAAACAGAACTGTTTTAAACCTGGATCTGAACATTGTCATAGAATTAGCCTGTCTCGCATTTTCATGAAGACTGTTCCAGATTTTAGCTGCATAAATCTAAAACACTGTCTCTGGGCACCAGCAGGAGGCCAGTCCCTATGCTTCTCAGAGTCCGAGTTGGTTTCTTTATGACTATAGTTTCTGACAATAACACAAGTGAGTTGGATTTAAGATGAATAAATGTTGCATCCTCAGAAACATTCCAGGCAACACATTATCGTTTACGGAGGTTTGTCTTGTCTTCTTAGCAGATTAACTTAAATTGGTTCTTCTATATCAGACAATTGAACGGTCAAAGAATCACTATGTTACATTTGCCTGAAGAACCAAATAGTTTAACAAAGCAAGCTCCACAAAGTTACCTAGTCTGTCTTACTGATGCAGCTATATTCACATTCATGATGGATATCTCAAATGTACTTTAAAGCCAAACCACAGAATCAATCAAACTTCCCCTTCTCTTCTACATTTTTGCTGCGATAATTTAATTTTCTGGACATAATCTCTGAGCCACAGCTGTGTTGAACCAACTGTAGTTCGCAGTCCTTCCACCAGGAGTCGCCAAATCATCACTACATATATACACATATATAAACACGTGCACAGGCACACACATATATACACACACACATACATACGCGTGCAGACACATCTATAACTACATTAAACTACATACGCACACACACACACACAAACAAAAAGATGCAAACGTATAGCGGTTACGTAATCTACACACACTTACGTACACTCGGACACACAAATACATACACACACATATATACACACACACACACACACACACACACACACACATACACACACACACACACACACACACACACACACACACACACACACACACACACACACACACACACACACACACACACACACACACACACACATACACACACATACACACACACACACACACACTGAGAGGCGCACGATCCCGTCTCATCCAATCACATTCCCCTTTTGTTTCGGCCCCAGCCAATCCCAGCCCTCGTTCCCCCGCGGATGGATTTGTGGATGGAAGTTTGTGCGCTAAAGAATTTCGCACAGATGCGTTCTGCCAGCGCCGGAGTGTGCACCCAGCCCGTGTAAACATGCGCCTTTTGTCGTGTGTTTTGGCGCTCTGCTGCGGGTCCCTGTGCGTGAGTTTGGCGCCCGCGGTGGAGTTTAACGTGGAGGATGTCGCAAAGACAGCGGACTTTCAGAGGGATGACGAGCGCGCACGAAGTTTGGGGCCAAGAAAGTCGTCGCAGATCAGCCCAATGTGGCGACGCAGAAGTGTGAATGGAGAGGACGCCTGTGTAACTTTAGAGGACGCGGATTCTGTGCTGCAGAACAACACGCACACGGTGAGTCCAGTCATGTATGCTTAGCCCTGTTTCCACCAGCGCTGCTTGGTCTTTCTCTACTCTATTCTACTTGGCTCTACTCTACTCTACTCTACATGGTTCTTCTCTACTGTACTCTACTCTACTCAGCTTAGGCTCTACTTTGCTCTGCTCTACTCTACTCTACTCTACTCTACTCTACAAGGCTCTACAAGGCTCTACTCTACTGTACACTACTCTACTCAGCTTTACTAGGCTCTGCTCTACTCTACTCTACTCTGCTTGGTTCTACAAGGCTCTTCTCTACTGTACACTACTCTACTCAGCTTCACTAGGCTCTACTTGACTCTGCTCTGCTCTACTCAACTCTAGAGCCTAGTAGAGTAAAGTACTCTTCTCTACCCTGCTTGGCTCTAATTTATTCTGCTCTACTCTAATCTACTATAGGCTCTAATCTACTGTACTCTATTCTGCTTTACTTTACACTACTCTACTCTACTATACTTGACTCGACTCGACTCTACTCCACTCTACTCTGTGTTTCTATTAGGCTTTTGTATTTATTTTGGTACCATACCCAACCTACCCTCAACAAACAAGTAACTGGGGAAATTCCTGGGAAACCATGGCTTACAGCTTTAGTACCAGGCAGCTTGACATGGATAAAACCAGGACCAAGAGGGACTAAAGAAGGACCTGGTACTGGTTAATAAACAGTACCGAGTCGAGTAGGGCTGGTAGCTGGTGATGGATGATGATGATGATGATGATGATGCCCAGTGCCTCAGCTGCAGATGGCATGATTCAGAGACGCACATGGACTCGGGTTTTTGAAGTAAACACGCGACAACTGTTCAGAATGCAGTTTTTGCAGATACTTTGGAGCTGAATCTGGCAACCGCATTATGTGTTTATTGAGTTATGAAATAGGTATAAAAGTTACGCAAGAGCCACACTAGTCAGAACTCGCCATTAAATATCTATCCATCTGTCAACAGTGAATTCACCTAGGTTAGTTCATTCATGGTCATCAATTACAAAACAACTTAAAGCTGAGATACCTAACTTTTTTTTCATCCTTACTAATATAACGTGGTAAAGAATCTTGTACATAAGGTGTTGGCCGAGTGAGGATTGAGTTGGTCCCCTCCCTTAAGCTTTTCTGTCTGAAAAATCGAATCTAAGGACGTGAAAGAGGCCAGAAATGCATGCATGTGAAAACGAGTGATGGAACCAAACTGTTTTGAGAGCGAGGGGCTATTTTGGTCCCATTTCAATCCATCCACATTTATTTGTATAGCACTGTTCTTACAAAATACAACTGAAAGCGATTCATGATCAAAAGCAGCAATTGGCAAATGAAATACATCAGTCATAGACAAGAATAACTGTTTTCAGGCTAGAAGTGGTTAGAAGGCCAGTCCCTGTGCTCCTCACAGTCCCAGCAGGAGGCCAGTCCCTGTGCTCCTCTGATCCCCAGCAGGAGGCCAGTCCCTGTGCTCCTCTGATCCCCAGCAGGAGGCCAGTCCCTGTGCTCCTCTGATCCCCAGCAGGAGGCCAGTCCCTGTGCTCCTCTGATCCCCAGCAGGAGGGCAGTCCCTGTGCTCCTCTGATCCCCAGCAGGAGGCCAGTCCCTGTGCTCCTCTGATCCCCAGCAGGAGGCCAGTCCCTGTGCTCCTCTGATCCCCAGCAGGAGGCCAGTCCCTGTGCTCCTCTGATCCCCAGCAGGAGGCCAGTCCCTGTGCTCCTCTGATCCCCAGCAGGAGGCCAGTCCCTGTGCTCCTCTGATCCCCAGCAGGAGGCCAGTCCCTGTGCTCCTCACAGTCCCAGCAGGAGGCCAGTCCCTGTGCTCCTCTGATCCCCAGCAGGAGGCCAGTCCCTGTGCTCCTCTGATCCCCAGCAGGAGGCCAGTCCCTGTGCTCCTCTGATCCCCAGCAGGAGGCCAGTCCCTGTGCTCCTCTGATCCCCAGCAGGAGGCCAGTCCCTGTGCTCCTCTGATCCCCAGCAGGAGGCCAGTCCCTGTGCTCCTCTGATCCCCAGCAGGAGGCCAGTCCCTGTGCTCCTCTGATCCCCAGCAGGAGGCCAGTCCCTGTGCTCCTCTGATCCCCAGCAGGAGGCCAGTCCCTGTGCTCCTCTGATCCCCAGCAGGAGGCCAGTCCCTGCGCTCCTCAGAGTCCCAGCAGGAGGCCAGTCCCTGTGCTCCTCACAGTCCCAGCAGGAGGCCGGTCCCTGTGCTCCTCACAGTCCCAGCAGGAGGCCGGTCCCTGTGCTCCTCACAGTCCCAGCAGGAGGCCGGTCCCTGCGCTCCTCAGAGTCCCAGCAGGAGGCCGGTCCCTGTGCTCCTCACAGTCCCAGCAGGAGGCCGGTCCCTGTGCTCCTCACAGTCCCAGCAGGAGGCCGGTCCCTGTGCTTCTCTGATCCCCAGCAGGAGGCCAATCCCTGTGCTCCTCTGATCTGTTTTTAAAGTAATCTCTGGGATGTTTGTATGGTATAGTTTGGCCAATACCCGGCACATACAGTACATCCATGAGCTGCGGTACATACATCCCATTCTGTTTGTCCCAACAGAAAAGGTTCTTGTAAGTAAAATATACTGATCTGATCAACATGCTGTCTTCAAATCATAAAAAAACGTTTATCTTTTGAATAAGAAAGAGCCCTGTGAGCCCTTCTTTTGATCCTTTGGGCTGAGAGCTGATTGGCTGAGTAAGGGTGGTCCAGTCTTTGTCACGTTTCTGTCTGAAAAAGCTGATCTAGAGAAGTGAGGCCAAAAATCCATATGAGAACTAGTGATGGAAGCAAAAGTTTTGAGAGAGACTTACTGTTTGTTAACCCGTGTTTGTGTTTTGAACATTAAGTACCCCAGCTTTAATAGTAAATAAGCCTGCCCTATGCTTGATGCACATGTTGTTGTGCTATACAGTCCCAAACCTGGATAAACTGAGAGGTGTGTGAGAGAGAGCAAAGATCGTACGAGGTCAATGTGATGTAGTCGCCGTCCAAAATATTTTCAAGCCAACTAATTATTTTATTGGGATTATAAAGGATTCTTGGGCCTCAGCAGAAACCAGAGAGCTGGGAGCAAATGTAGCAGGAGATTTGTGAAATATTTCAAGTATTTCCTATTTATCTTGTATATGTTTTTGTTTTCTCTGAACTCCTGTGAACTGTTGATTTGTTGTGTGCGGTTTGGATTCAAGGACAGAGATTTGAAGAGGTTTTTACAGAAGGCAAAGACAGAGTTTTCTCCATTCTTTTGTGATAGATTTGTCTATTGCTGCTGGAGGAAAATGCAAAACACGTTAGTAATAAAGTTTGATGGATTGGAGACTCGGGGGGGCCTTGGAGAAGCTGGCCTCTATCTACATTCTGACCAGAGAGGGGAACATTCTGTAGTATTGTCTGTTGGAGCGAACATTTGACACATGGCTCTCAGTTACGTATGGACATCTATTGATCCATTACGGCTTCACAATGTCCTCATGAAATGTTTTATTATTTTAAGATTGTAACGTCATTGTAAGAAACATTGAAGTATTGTATTATCAGCATAGGGTACTGTTGTGTAAGTTGGCTCTTCACTTGGTAGAGGACCTGACAGTAAATAATTCGACTAAATTCAGACTAGGACACTCCATCCATCCATCCATTTTCTTCCCCTTAATCCATTTCTGGGTGGGGGGGGTGGCAGTCAGACCTGCACCCAGTCCACTTAGCACCAGCCCCTCACTGATCCTCCTGCAGGTGGTGAGTCCACAGGAGCTGAGATCTTTCAGTGGGAGCTTCAGGCAAAGTGGGGTTAAGTGTCTTGCCCAAGGACACAACGACAGCAGTCATCAGTGGGAGTCGTGAAGTAGGTCTTATGGTGGGCTTGAACCCACGACCTTCAGGCCCAAAGGCCAATGCTCTACCAACTGAGCTACTGTCGCCCCGGACTAGGACACTCGTTCATTGTTAATATAGATAAAGAGGAATGAGTCATGGAAGCTAACTGTTAAGTTTACCAGTTAAAACAGTCGTCTATCTGACACATTACAACATAAAAACCTGCGGCTTATATTCCAGTGCAGCCGATATGCGGACTAAATTAAGTTTAAAATGTTGCTGGTGCGGCTCATATACAAGTGAGCCTAAAGCCTAGTGTATACTCGCGCGGTCGCTGGTTGCGGTTACGTTGGACCTACGCAGCCACAGTGGCTCGTACACTCGCGCGTTCCCCTTGCAGAGTTTTGAAGTGAATCCCACAACTGTGATGGCGATCTCACAGGAGTTGCCTGGGAAACTAAAGCGGTCTCATTTACGCTGCTACTTTCTCCTCCTCCTCCTCACAAAAACATTTGCAAACCGAGCTGTTTGAGCTCACATGTGTTTCTACTGTAGGTTTATGTGAAAGTTTCTATGGACTCATTATTTCATAACTCATTTAACTGTGATGTTGTGAAGAGAGACTTAGTTCTTGTTACAAATATAGTTATTATTAAAGTGTATTCAGCACAAACAGAAAAACAAGTGGTAAATATCTGAGACAAACATGAACTATTTACAAGTTGCTTGTGGTATGCAACAGACGCGATAAACTACGAGTGCAGATTCAAACAAAGACGGGAACAGTACAAAACAAACGACTGCACAGTTTATAAGTTATATATATGTTAGATGTGCAACAGAACTCTAGTCCACAGTCTCGGCGTATATCAGGCTCTGCCATGAGCCCAAACTGCTTTTCCTTCGGTTCCTTCGAAGCGTGAAGCAGTCTGCTCCGAAGTACCTCGTCCATGTTTCTGCAGCCGCTCCATGCTTATCAGAAAGTAATCACACACGTAGGCCGGTCACGATAACACATTTTGCTGGACGATTAATTGTCTAAGAAATTATTGCGATAAGCGATAATATTGTTGCTCTGAGATCCTTTTCATCTAATACAATGATAATAATGCAGGTACACCTTTTCAAAGAGAAATAAACGTTTATTTATTTATTTTTCCGTTAGCATCAAGCTAGCGGCTTTTTAAAGTTCTTTG